ATGACGAGCGAACGCTTTAACCACTGGGCTACCCGACCGCCCCTCACGCAGATAGAGAACACTAAAATGCATTGCCTTTTCAGCAGTCATTTGCAAGGCATTTATAGTTGGGTTAGCCTTAGTCTGTCAATATTTTTTTAAGTCCATCATTCAATATATTTACTTGGAAAACCTAAAAAGCAGTATGAACATAAAAGTTTCCGACAAAGACTTATTTTCACAAATCACAAAAATAAAGAAGTTTTGTCTGCCATGAAGTTTAATACTTATTTTGACAAGTACATATCATTTTGTACAAATGCAAGGCTTTTCCAACAATTTGGTGATTCTCAAGGCTAATCAAGGTTGACACAAAAAATGAAGGCTTTTCAAGAGGGACCTGAAAATCCAAGGCCTTTTCAAGCTTGTACGAACCTTGGTTAATAATCCAGCAATTGCCAGTCTGGGGACACCAGTATAAAACCATGGAAGGAATCACACCCAGGTCTCGGTGAACACAAGCAACAAAGCTACGCAACCAGCATTTTAAATTCGGCCGAGGTTCTTAGCTTACGCATCAAAGCTGGCTTTAATTAAATTTGTTTACAGCCTTGTACACAGAACAGTTCATTCTGGTTTATGTGGTCTGGATAAATGCTGATTAACTAAACAAGGGAACGCAGCAGACTACAGTAAATGCTATGATTAGCATAAATCAAAAGTTAGTGTCTGGCGCCTTTACCATACTACTCGACTTTTGGTAGGGATAATCAGAGTGAGTGAGTGAGTGAGTGAGTTGGGTTTAAAGCCGCTTTTAACATTATTCCAGTTATATCGCGGCGTGTCAGCTTATTGTGGGAGGAAAGCCTGAAGTGATGCAGGTCTCAGACGTTTACCACTTCGGTGAAACCCACGAGCACGGGTATGGTGCTCACAAACCTAGAAACATAATCGGGGTGAACCGGGATTCGAACCCACAATCATAGGTTTCTGGCGTGCCCAAGGGACGCAACTCTGCACAGCGAATCGCGGCGCCTTAGACGACTGGGCCAACCGTGCCCCCTAGGGATAATCAGATGTCATTCTATTCAAATATACACTTGACATATGAGAATCACTTTTGGGCATCATGGAGAGATAAACCATATCCCTGCGAAAAGTGGACTGGTATACATAAAGTATCTCACCCTCGTGTCTTTTGATATCAAATATATCAACATGAGTTGATAAAAGTGGAAAAATTCCGAGGCTTGCCGAGGATTTTTCCCACTTTTATCAACGAGTGTTGATATACTTGATGTCAAAAGACACGAGGGTGAGATTTTATTTATCATCCATCATCATTCTTCCAACTTTTTCAATTTGGAGATAGTAATTAGCAGTGTCTTCAGTGTAAAAAGTACTGCTAACAGCTTCAGTAGCAGAGCCATTAGTGATGTCATTTGATTGTGACGTCATGGTAACCAGTGACATCACAATGGTCTCCAAAGCATTGTGATGTAATTTCATTGCAGCGATATCTACAGTGTAGATATCGCTTGATCTAATCCAAGCCATATCTCCTGTGGGAGCCAGTTTTGGATGATAAATTGTAATCTTTTGCCTTGTGTACATTCATTGAGTGAGTGAGTGAGTGAAAAATATTTAACGCCACTTTGAACAGTATTTCAGCTACAGCGCCACACGTCAGCTTGCCGTGGGAGGTACACCCGAAGTGATGCAGGTCTCAGAAATTTACCACTTTGGTGAAACTCACAAGCACAAGTATGGTGCTGACAAACCCAGAAACAATTATGCCGAACAGGGATTTGAACCCATGATATTAAGTTTTTGGCAGACAAAAGCGACAACTCTCCACAGTTGATTGCAGCGCCTTACACAACGACCTACGCAAAGCCCAAACAATTTTTCACAGTTATGTTACACATTCTATCATACAAAACTTGCTTCTACAGGCAGGAAATACTGGTTTGGTGATCTTTGTGATGTCAATGGTTTCCCGACAGCAGAATTAAAAGTAGCACTAATCCTTCAGATACAGAAGCTGGTTAGCGGCATTTTTTACTGAAAGAGTTGAAAGAATGATTTATATAGAGAATCTCTCCCTGTGTCTCTTGATATCAAAGACACTTCTACTCAAAAGAAGTCCCAGAAGACCAGATTCATTAATATACTACAGTTAATGTCATGTCAAGTTTCCTTGAACTTATTTTGAGTGGTATATATCAATGATTGGAGTTGTTAACTTTTGTATTGCCTTGATATATCGAATAAAGACAGGTGTGGTTCTCTATATCCTACTAGGAAACAAGAGAGATCTTCAATTAAATTTTACAGGTAACATTTGTTTTGGTTGTTGTTTAACGCTGCACTCGGCAATATTCCAGCTATATGATGGCGGTCTGTAAATAATCGATTCTGGACAGGACAATCCAGTGTTTGACATCATAAGCATCGATATGCAATTGGGATGCATCAACGAAGTCAGTCAGCCTGACCATCCGATTCCGTTCGTCACCTCTTACAAGCATGGGTTGCTGAAGACCTATTCTACCCTTGGTCCTTACAGGAATAGATTGAACAGATAATGTGTTTATACCTTGCCAACACATGCAACACGGCAGTCGCACTCATGCAATTAATTTCCAGTTGTAGGATAACACAGTGTAACAGTTATTTGTTGTGTCATTGACAAAGCTTTTAGTATGGGCTCCTCAAAACAGAGTGAATCAAAATAACTGGATTCACAATTACTTCCACGCTTCCTAGTGCACACAAGTTGGTCAAGTCTAGAATTCCTAAAAAAAATAATCCACATCACATCCTCCTGACAAGTCATCATTTGTAAACCTTGATATGTCAAACAGTGAAAAACAGTGTGAAACACACATTCACACACAACAAACACACATTCACACACAACAAACACACATTCACACACAACAAACACACAGCACTCAACATCTCAACATTTATGGACTCAAATCAACATCAGCGAGGGCCTCCATCCTTGCCATCCTGATACAGAAACTAAAACAGACAACATGAAATCTACACCAGTCATGACAGATGCGATATCTGCTATATACATCACGTAGCTGTTGCGATATCTGCTATATACATCACGTAGCTGTTGCGACATCTGCTATATACATCACGTAGCTGTTGCGATATCTGCTATATACATCACGTAGCTGTTGCTCATGTACAGAAGACATATTTTACACACTACTTTTCTAACATATTGACACTCTTTTTTCATACTCGGTTTCCAGATCTGTTAAATATTTCCATTACTAGGAAAAGAAAAGGTGTAATATGGATAAACATTGTAAATTTCAAAAATGAAAAACATTCAAGATCTTAGAAGGTACAACTTTTACTTCCCCTTTTAAAACCTTTCTATGATCATGTTAGTTTTCCCTGACAAAAAATTTAAAATTACCAGAGATAAAAAAAAAATCCACCTTGACTTTGAATCCTGTTCAATAAATTGTTTGTTCGTTGTTTAACGCGCACTCAGCAATAATCCAGCAACATGGCGGCGGTCTGTAAATAATTGAGACTGGACCAGACAATCCAGTGATTGACATTATGAGCATTGATTCATGCAATTGGGATCCGATGACATGCATCAACCAAGTCAACAAGCCTGACCATCCGATCCCATTAGTCGCCTCTTACGACAAGCATAGTTGCCTCTTATGGCAAGCATAGTTGTAAAACAATGTTGACAAAGGCTGACACACCCACAATGGTTGTTCTAATAGGATGGTCTTGTATCGCAACACATACATGTCGAAAAATTACAAGGGAGTATGGTATGCCGCTTTTAGCAATATTCCAGAAATGGTCATGGCTGGGGGCACCGGAAAAGGGGTTCATACATGGTACCCATATGGGACTCGAACCCGGGTTTTTGACATGACGAACAAACACGTCAACCACTAGGCTACACCCCACTCAATAAATGACTTAATCTCAAAAGGGTTTACCGGACGACCAAGTGTCATTGACTGGAAATATATCCACTCTGAAGTATAATGATATATCGATATATACTATATATCGATTAATAAGATTAGTTATATGTATGTTATATAAAAAATAATCTGCACAGAGATGCCTACCCTAATTGAAGCTTTGGAGTAATCAGTCGGGTAAAAAAGCGTAATTTGGTGTGAAAAAGAGTAATGTCAAGAGTACCATGCCGTGATGCTTGTTATCGCTTTGACATTTTCATTAGGCCTATACGTGAGTGAGTGAGTAGGGTTTAACAGTATTCCAGTTATATCACGGCGTGTCAGCTTAATGTGGCAGGAAAGCCCGAAGTGATGCAGGTCTCGGACGTTTTCCACTTCGGTGAAACATACAAGCAGGGGTATGGTGCCGACAAACCTAGAAACATAATCGGGCGAACCGGGATTCGAACCCACAATCATAGATTTCTGGCGTGCCCAAGGGATGCCACGCTACACAGCAAATCGCGGCGCCTGAGACGACTGGGCCACCCGTGCCCTTATGAATTAAGGAAGAAGACACATTTTCGCAAAACAATTACAGAACATTCGGCCACATGGCAGCTAAGTAAATACAGCATTGGACAAAAAAATCATTTAAGAAACGAAATGAGTGGGACCGACAAAGTTCATTTCTGTCTTCAAGGACTCCTGCTTTCTTTCCTTCTGATGTTGTTTACAGTCAACAATAGCACCTTGTGTGAGTGAGGTGGGCTTAACGCCGCTGCAAACAGTATTCCAGTTGTATCACGGCGTGTCAGGTAAATGTGGGAGGAAAGCCCGAAGTGATGTAGGTCTCAGACGTTTACCACTTTGGTGAAACCCACGAGCACGGGTATGGTGCTGACAAACCTAGAAACATAATCAGCTCGAACGCCTGAACATCGGTTTCTGGCGTTCCTGAGGGATGCAAATCTGTAAATTGCGGCGCCTTAGATGACTGGGCCACCCTGCCCCCTGGCACCATGTTTGATAGTCTTAGGGAAGACATGAAACCGAAGGGAGGGCAGGAGTAAAATTTATTGTGTAATTTAAAACACTGAAACACTCTCCAGTGTCACAAGTGGACATCAATACATCCAATAACTCATTCTGAAATGTCCAATAAATGCCAGCCATGAATTGCTCCAAAAGTAAATGCAGTTTCTGTCAAGACGTTTCGAGTGGACTACCAAATTTCGTACAGATATAATTTTTCATACATTTTACTCCTTACATGGTTTTCATAAGTGCAATGAACTGAAAAGAAAGTAACCAAGATATTAGATGCTAAATTTACTGGACAAAAGGAACCTGACTTGAGCTTCCGGCTACAGCAGCAGTGAATGACTTGGTTGTCGGATGCTAATGCCACATATGCCACACAACAGTTTGACACTACATAACAGACGTGCATGACTCGACTTCGCGACTTCAAGCTGAACATTTAACAGGATTCCAGATAGAAAATTGGCACACTTTCACACCATCTTGTATGAGCCATTCAGACGTTTCACACCCTTGCATTGATACACCACACTTCGTATTAAAGAAGTCCGTGTTCCTTGAATCGGTGAAACATCCATGCTGTGAACGATCACAATGATACGTCACAGTCCGATGCAGAACGACTGAAACCTTGAAATGCTTAGTTTGTTTCCCGTTCATCATTTAAATGGGAATCCCATCGTCCTCTCTTGCAAGGTCACGTCAAGGTCAGTAAAGACTACCCACTATCCCGTGCCTCATCACTTCCGCATCAGTACACATCCAGAACGGGCACTTCTTTTCTTAATGTCACACTCTGTTCACCGTTCACTCAGAGTTCTCGTTTGATTGTAGGGGTCACCTTGACCTGAAGCTGGTGTGTCTTCAAGATTCTCCTGGACAAGCTGAAGGTACATCAGCCATCTTGGCAGTGACTGGAACTATTGGCCCCGGGGTACTGGCATCACCCCCCGTCACTCCTGGTCACTCCTCCCAACATCCAGGGTTCATGTCCAGACAAGTGACCTTCAAAACGACTGGCGACTGTTCGCGAGAATTGCCTCATCACCATAACATGAAGGCGTCATATGTCCATACACAATAACATCCATGCACAATGAAGTTGAAAGACATTCTGTAACAGAATCAACACATCCTCACTAACTTCATACCCCCAGCAGAGAATGGAGTTCGTCATCGTCCATGACGGGGTCGCTCTCACTACCGCCATCTTCGTCGGGCAACGAGGCTGGTCCCTTCTTCTCTTGTGTTCCCATAATGATCTCTTCGATGCGAGCATTCAGGTCACGCCGATCCTGCAAAGTTACCAAACAAAGGTAGCATTTTGCAGGGATTCATCTAGGCGGATGTTTCGTTGTGAGGTTGGTGTTTTGTATTGAGGTGGGTGTATCGTTGTGAGGTTGGTACAGCAGAGGGTGTATCGTTGTGAGGTTGGTGTTTCGTTGTGAGGTTGGTGTTTGGTTGTGAGGAGGGTGTTTGGTTGTGAGGCGGGTGTTTTGTTGTGAGGTTGGTGTTTCGTTGTGAGGTTGGTGTTTGGTTGTGAGGAGGGTGTTTGGTTGTGAGGCGGGTGTTTTGTTGTGAGGTTGGTGTTTTGATGTGAGGCAGGTGTTTCGTTGTGAGGTTGGTGTTTCGTTGTGAGGCGGGTGTTTGGTTGTGAGGTTGGTGTTTCGTTGTGAGGCGGGTGTTTCGTTGTGAGGTTGGTGTTTCGTTGTGAGGCGGGTGTTTCGTTGTGGGGTTGGTGTTTCGTTGTGAGGTGGGTGATTGGTTGGTTGGTTGGTTGGTTTGTTTAACGCTGCACTCAGCAATATTCCAGCTATATGAAGGCAATCTGTAAATAATCCAGTCTGGACCAGACAAACCAGTGATGAATATCATGAGCATAGATCCACGCAATTGGGATCGATGACATGCATCAACCAAGTCAGCGAACCTGACCATCCGATCCCGTTAGTCGCCTTTTACGACAAGCGTAGTCACCTTTTGCGGCAAGCATGGGTTGCTGAAGACCTATTCTACCCCGGAATCTTCACCGGTGTTTTGTTGTGAGGCGGGTGTTTTGTTGTGAGGCGGGTGTTTTGTTGTGAGGCGGGTGTTTTGTTGTGAGGCGGGTGTTTTGTTGTGAGGCAGGATGTTTGGTAGTGAGGGAGGATGTTTGGTAGTGAGGCAAGATGTTTGGTGGCCGGAGGGGGATGTTTGGTAGCAAGGCAGGATGTTTGGCAGTGAGGCAGGATGTTTGTTTGTGTGAGGCGGGTGTTTGGTAGCAAGGCAGGATGTTTAGTAGTGAGGTGGATGTTTGGTAGTGAGGCGGATGTTTGGTAGTGAGGCGGATGTTTGGTAGTGAGGCGAATGATTGGTAGTGAGGCGAATGATTGGTAGTGAGGCAAATGATTGGTAGTGAGGTGGATGTTTGGTAGTGAGGCGGATGTTTAGTAGTGAGGCGGATGTTTGGTAGTGAGGCGAATGATTGGTAGTGAGGCGAATGATTGGTAGTGAGGCGGATGTTTGGTAGTGAGGCGAATGATTGGTAGTGAGGCGAATGATTGGTAGTGAGGCGGATGTTTGGTAGTGAGGCGAATGATTGGTAGTGAGGCGGATGTTTGGAAGTGAGACGGATGTTTGGCAGCAAGGCAGGATGTTTGTTTGTATGAGGTGGGTGTTTGGTAGTAAGACAGATGTTTGATAGCAAGGCAGGATGTTTGGTAGTGAGGCGGAATGTTTGGTAACAAGGCGGATGTTTGGTCGTGAGGCAGATGTTTGGTAGCAAGGCAGGATGTTTAGTAGTGAGGCGGAATGTTTGGTAAGAAGGCGGATGTTTGGTAGCAAGACAGGATGTTTGGTAGCAAGGCAGGATGTTTGGTATCAAGGCAGGATGTTTGGTAGCGAGGCGGATGTTTGGTAGCAAGGCGGATGTTTGGTAGCAAGGCAGGATGTTTGGTAACAAGACAGGATGTTTGTTAGCTAGGTAGATGTTTGGTAGCAAGGGAGATGTTTGGTAGCAAGGCGGATGTTTGGTAGTAAGGCAGGATGTTAGGTAGTTAGGCAGATGTTTGGTTGTGAGGCTGATTTTTGGTAGCAAGGCAGGCCTGATGGCTAATCATTACTTTAGCATGGACTGATCTCAACAGTATATTTCAATTGGGAAAAGTTACATAAAACTCACTGTGGTCTCCACGACATCTTCCTCCTCTTCTTCAACAACCTCGTTGTGGAACTCCGGAGACGACATCTTCTCCGGAACGATCGCAACCTCCGTTTCAGGAACTTGCAATGATGCCGTCTCCATTGCTGTTTCCTCCGCCGCTGCCTCTTTCACTGGTGGCGATGTCACAGCATGCAGTGCATCATGGGACGGCTCCTTTGCCGAATCAGAATCCACAACCGGTGAGGGAACGACACTTGTGTCCGTTGCGTTCCCTGAAGCACCCACAAGGTTTCCAAGTGGACTTGACCCTTCAACTCTGGAAACAGGCGTGTCGGCAGCAGGCGTATCGGCGCCAGTTAGCGGCGTCATGTTACTATTGTCCGTATCAACATCTGGGAGTGGCAGATCTAAAATCCCAGACACTTTCTTTGGTTCTGACACCTCCACAACCTCTCTGGAAGTTTCGTTCACAGTTCCTTGAAATTGTTCTGTCTGATCTGGCACCACTTCTTCCACTGGGGTTTTGTCTTTTGTGTCACTTTCACAATTTGGTGCCGCGTCCCCCGCACCGGTCGCCTTGGAGTCACTTTCCTCGTCCTCACTGAGGTCCGACAACACTGCCTTGATGTTGTCGGGAATGTTTGATTCGCGTTGGGGCTCCGGCTGGGGGATGGGCTTGGGAAGACCAGCTTGGTTTGGATTGATGAGATCTAAGCCTGGAATACCAGCAGACTTTTTCGGGAAAAAGAACGGAGTGGGTTCCTTGGAGTCTGACCCGGCAACGGATTCCGAAAGCACGGTAGATTCCGCGGAAACGTTAGTGTCTTTGTTGCCATCTGTGATATCATTCACTTTGTCCGTCGGAGTGGAATCACTACCTAGAAAAGTTAGAAACAAATGAAAACGTAAGCATCAACCAATTGAAATTAAGAACATTTTATTTCTTTATTGTGTGACGACTCACTTTTAAACATTCCATCTATATGGTCAGGGTATGAAGAACCTCAATCCACCAAGCAACAGAGCCTGACCACCCAATCCACCAAGCAACAGAGCCTGACCACCCAATCCACCAAGCAACATAGTCTAACCACCCAATCCACCAAGCAGCAGTCTGACCACCCAATCCACCAAGCAACAGGGCCTGACCACCCAATCCACCAAGCAACAGGGCCTGACCACCCAATCCACCAAGCAGCAGTCTGACCACCCAATCCACAAAGCAACAGAGTCTAACCACCCAATCCACCAAGCAACAGGGTCTGACCACCCAATCCACCAAGCAACAGGGCCTGACCACCCAATCCACCAAGCAACAGGGCCTGACCACCCAATCCACCAAGCAGCAGTCTGACCACCCAATCCACAAAGCAACAGAGTCTAACCACCCAATCCACCAAGCAGCAGTCTGACCACCCAATCCACCAAGTAACAGGGCCTGACCAACCAATCCACCAAGCAGCAGTCTGACCACCCAATCCACCAAGCAACAGGGCCTGACCACCCAATCCACCAAGCAACAGGGCCTAACCACCCAATCCACCAAGCAGCAGTCTGACCACCCAATCCACCAAGCAACAGGGCCTGACCACCCAATCCACCAAGTAACAGGGCCTAACCTCCCAATCCACCAAGCAGCAGTCTGACCACCCAATCCACCAAGCAACAGGGCCTGACCACCCAATCCACCAAGCAACAGGGCCTGACCACCCAATCCACCAAGTAACAGGGCCTAACCACCCAATCCACCAAGCAGCAGTCTGACCACCCAATCCACCAAGCAACAGGGCCTGACCACCCAATCCACCAAGCAGCAGTCTGACCACCCAATCCACCAAGCAACAGGACCTGACCACTTGATTCACCAAGCAACAGAGCCTGACCACCCAATCCACCAAGCAGCAGTATGACCACCCAATCCACCAAGCAACAGGGCCTGACCACCCAATCCACCAAGCAACAGAGTCTGACCACCCAATCCACCAAGCAACAGAGCCTGACCACCCAATCTACCCAGCAACAGAGCCTGACCACCCGATCCATGCTGGGGGCCTTTTCTAACCCTTAATCCTCATGACTAAAAAGACAGAGGTGGTTGAGGTTTAAAGGGCAAGTTCACACGGAAATGAACCTATTTTTCTTGTACTTTTTCCACATTAAAAGTGTTAACCTAGAAGTGTCAGACAAAAATATAAAAATATCACAATTAATTAACATATTTTTCCCATTAAAATGATTTATATTTTTCACATTTACCAAGTGTTCTATTTCCACAACAAAAACACCATGGCTTATGCCCCTTGCAATATGACGTCATTGGTGCCAATTGATAAACATTATGACGTCATTATGCTTTGTTAGAGCCGCTTCACGTGGTGTAGGTCCAGGTGTGTGATTCTAGCGTCTCAGATGCCAGCCAGCATAGTGTTATGCTGAGTCACCACTGCGCCGGAGTGTGTCGTAGGCCATGTTGTTTTACCGCAAACTGGTACTTGGTATCTTTTGAGTTGAGAATAGACAGGGACCCAGTTGAATTGGCACCAATTACGTCATAATCTAAGGGGGATAACTCAGGCCTGTTTAGCTCGAAAAACGAAGGCCTCATAACGGCATATCATTTTCACACTATTGTGAGCTTCCTACTTTCACTGTGAAAAAAATGAGTGTATATTTTCAAACACAGATACTAATTAATCCCAAATTTGCGTTTTGTTTAGAAAAAGAAAGAAAGTGATTTTTGCGTGTACACTTCCCCTTTAAGGAAAAACTTTCTGAGCAGCAGTAAAGAGTAAAAGGGTCTTGTTCACACAACTTTGACATTAAAAGTTATTCTAACCCAGATCTTCACGGGTTGACACTGTTAAGCTCTGTCATTGTTGTAAAGCATTCCCCCACCCGTGACCGGTGGTTCATAGCCTGAACAAGAAAGTCACCCAATTGAGAATTTAGGACCTGCTTTACCCTGAGCCACATTGGAGACCACATTGTCTGTGTGTTGGCAGGTGACAGTTGGGGATTAAGTGTTACAGTGGTGGACGACTTACCTTTCTCCGTGTCGAGTTCGTTCTCCTTGTTCTCCTTCTGGTTCAGCTCTGGTTTCTTCTTCATCTCCATCAGCTGCAACAGCAGACAGCCACAGTTGCAACAGACAGCCACAGTTGCAACAACAGACAGCCGCAGTTGCAACAACAGACAGCCACAGTTGCAACAGCAGACAGCCGCAGTTGCAACAACAGACAGCCACAGTTGCAACAACAGACAGCCGCAGTTGCAACAACAGACAGCCGCAACAACAGACAGCCACAGTTGCAACAACAGACAGCCGCAGTTGCAACAACAGACAGCCGCAGTTGCAACAACAGACAGCCGCAGTTGCAACAACAGACAGCCACAGTTGCAACAACAGACAGCCACAGTTGCAACAACAGACAGCCACAGTTGCAACAGCAGACAGCCACAGTTGCAACAGCACACAGCCACAGTTGCAACAACAGACAGCCGCAGTTGCAACAGCAGACAGCCACAGTTGCAACAGCACACAGCCGCAGTTGCAACAACAGACAGCCACAGTTGCAACAACAGACAGCCGCAGTTGCAACAACAGACAGCCGCAGTTACAACAACAGACAGCCGCAACAACAGACAGTCACAGTTGCAACAACAGACAGCCGCAGTTACAACAGACAGCCACAGTTGCAACAACAGACAGCCGCAGTTGCAACAACAGACAGCCACAGTTGCAACAACAGACAGCCACAGTTGCAACAACAGACAGCCACAGTTGCAACAACAGACAGCCGCAATTGCAACAGCAGACAGCCACAGTTGCAACCACAGACAGCCACAGTTGCAACAACAGACAGCCAGCAACAACAGACAGCCACAGTTGCAACAACAGACAGCCACAGTTGCAACAACAGACAGCCGCAGTTGCAACAAGAGACAGCCGCAGTTGCAACAGCAGACAGCCACAGTTGCAACAACAGACAGCCACAGTTGCAACAACAGACAGCCACAGTTGCAACGACAGACATCTTAAAGCAAAGTTATAGTTGCAACGACAGACAGCCGCAGTTGCAACGACAGACAGCCGCAGTTGCAACGACAGACAACCGCAGTTGCAACGACAGACAGCCGCAGCTGCAACAGCAGACAGCCGCAGTTGCAACAACAGACAGCCGCAGTTGCAACAGCTCATTCAAGTCATGTACCTATTCGTAAATCGCATCCTATTCACTCGCCAAACATCCAGTCAGAGTTATATGTATTAGGAATCCAATCTCATTAAAATCAGATCTTAGTTCTCGCTGCCGCTAAACAAAGATCTGAGGACATCCCATTACGGGTCCGTAAGAATGACCTTTCGCGAATTTTGACTGACCAATGAAATGACTGACAAGAAAGCGACATTAGCCAATCAGAAGGCAGCTCTCTCGAGCTTTACGACACTAGTTTCAAACTGGCGACTACGCTTCGAAACATTTTGACGTATTCTTGACTAAAAATATTTAAACTGATAAGAACAACATTCTGGAACGGCTTATAGATGGCCTAGATTGTATGGATATAATCATAAAACCCGTAACTGTCGTTCGGAATACCCTCTGAAATATTTTGTGGTTGCATGATTAGAAAACACATTCCGACAGTCACTTTCATGATCTGGTAAGCAACGCTCTGATTGGTTGGATGAAAGGATCTGACGTGACCCTTAATGTGATGTCCTCAGATCTTTGTTTAGCGTTAGCGAGAACTAAGATCTGATTTTAAGGAGATTGATTAGGAATCATAATTGTGTACAAAGCTCACTAAGGCACAAATAATAAAAATAATATTCCACAATGTTTCTTAAGATACAGTTTGTTTGTTATTCAACGCCGCAATCTGTACCAGACAATCCAGTGATTGTGGGAGGAAAGCCCGAAGTGATGCAGGTCCCAGGCGTTTACCACTTTGGTGAAACCCACGAGCACGGATATGGTGCTGACAAACCTTGAAACATAATCAGGGCGAACCGAGATTCGAACCCACAATCATAGGTTTCTGGCATGCCTACGGGACGCAACTATCATTCCTGTATTCCTACACCAGCCTCATTACTCACCTGTGGGGGAGCAGCTTCTCCATCCCCCATGACAAATAGTGCCTTGAACTTGTTGTATATAACTTCCGCCTTGGACTTAATGCGATCGCTGCCCTTGTACTTCCGACACTGAAATAAACATCAGACTGGCCTTATGCTATCACTAGGATGGTGTGGTTCCCTTGTTTAACGCCGCACTCAGCAATATTTCAGCTAGATGACGGCAGTTTGTAAAAATAATAGTCTGGATCAGACAATCCAGTGATTGACATCGTAAGCATCTATCTACGGAATTGGGATATGTCAGCAAGCCTGGCTACCCAAACCTGTCATTTTGGATGTACTGTTAGTCATGGGTCATATTGTTCAAGGTCACTCAGAGTTTTCTCTCTTCAATGTCCTGTGGACTTTAAGCGAGCTGGGATTATAATTGTCATCACTGTGACCATACTGTCTACTGTTTGTCCGTGTCTTGGTGTGGTTGGTTGGATGGTTTGTTGTTTAACACCGCACTCAGCAATATTCCAGCTGTACGACGGCGGTCTGTAAATAATCAAGTCTGGACCAGAAAATCCAGTCATCATGCGCATCGATCCACGCAATTGGGATACGATGACATGCATCACCCAAGTCAGCGAGCCTGACCACCCGATCCCGTTAGTCCTTTCTGACAAGCATAGTCGCCTTTTACGGCAAGCATGGGCTGCTGAAAACCTATTCTACCCCGGATCTTCACGGGTGGGTTTGGTGTGGACTGACAGGTCCATCAATAACTATTTGCTTCACATCTAACAAGTACATCTATTCATCTTGCAAAAGGATACCATATTCGAAGACAGGAAAACATTACACGGGTATCTTTTTTACTTTATGGGTAAATTCACTTCCTTCAATTTGCCTATTTGTTTAACACATTTAGCATATTTAAAACTGTATGACGGCCGCCTAAAGATAATTGAGTGATTGGCATGAGCAACAATCCAATCTGTCACTGTACGTTGACACACTGTCAAGTAAGTCAATGAGCCTGATGCCCATACAAGGTTCTTATTTGTCACGACAATCACCATTAACGGCAAGCATGGGTTGCTGAAGACATTTTCTTCTCCGGATCTTCACAGTAGCTTCTTCTTTGAAGCAGTCAGATTTAACAATTTAATTTTGAATTAAATTACTTTCACATAGTTAAGTGCGCAACTGTGATCGATACTAGTATCGGGAAGTATCAGTGTATAGTCCCACCACTAGTCCTTATTTATACAACAGCAACTTAGCAATTTTAATACATTGTTCAAGGTCACTCAGAGTTTTCTCTCTTCAACGTCCTGTGGACTCTAAGCGAGCTGGGTATATAATTGTCATCACTGTGACCATATCTATTCTTGTTAAAGTCATCAATCAGGGACGACTAGTTGCATTATTACTGTTTGGGAGAATAATAGTAATTTCTGAACCAATTTCTAAATCTGGCTTTGTGCCTCTCAAGCATTAACATTTAAACAAGACTTAGTGAATGTTTCACAATCATGTAAGCGAGTGTGGTTGTTGTCTGACGCCACTCAGCAATATTCCAGCTATATGACCTCAGCATGTAAATAATCAAGTCTGGACCAGATAATCTAGTGATTGATATCATGAGTATCAATATACACAATTGGGATATGATGAACGATTGAATGACTTAGGATTAATTAGACTGTACTTCTAGCATGGTTTACACAAATTTAAATTAGGTCACATTATAATTTGCCATCTCATTTTCTCTCTGGTCAAACTTCCTGCATGTAATTTGTAAAATAAAGGTCACTCAGAGTTTTCTCTCTTCAACGTCCTGTGGACTCTAAGCGAGCTGGGTATATAATTGTCATCACTGTGACCATATTTAATCTTGTTAAAGTAATTAATCAGGGACGACATGTGGCATTATTACTGTATGGGAGAATAATAGTAATTTGCATCCCCCGAAATAATCTTAAACTCAGCTTTGTGTCTGTCAAACATCAACATTTAAACAAGTGAAGTTTTACAATCACTATCTTTGTTTGACGCCGCACTCAGCAATATTCTAGCTATATGACAGCGGTCTGTAAAAAATCAAGTCTGTACCAGACAATCCAATGACTGATATCATGAGCATCGATCCTGTGAGGCAATAAATCAGGCCAGGACAAGAGGGTAGGGGCCAAAGGTTCCTTGTTTTGTATTGATTAACCTATGGAATTGCGATATTTTAAACTGGTATTGAACTATTTTACTACCTTACGACTAATGGGTGTGCCTCTTCTAAGAATAAATCATTCTGCTTTAAACGCTGTCTCAGGTGACTTCTAATGTGCATCTGTCCATGTGCTGCCGGAAGTGTAGTACACAACCGAGATACCTGTTTTTCTAGAGTGCGTGTTGCAAGCCGCCTACCTTTGTTGTTTTTGTTGTTTAACGCCGCACTAGGCAATATTCCAGCTATATGACGGCGGTCTGTAAATAATCGAGTCTGGACCAGACAATCCAGTGATTGATATCAAGAGCATCGATCCACGTAATTGGGATCGATGACATGTATCAACCAAGTCACCGAGCCTGACCACCCGATCCTGTTAGTCGCCTTTTACGACAAGCACAGTCGCCTTTTACGGCAAGCATGAGTTGCTGAAGACCTATTCTACCCCGGAATCTTCACAGGTCAAGCGGTCTACCTTCTTGATGGTGTTCATGATGTCTGGTTTTACTAGTGTGTGTTGCAAGCCGCCTACCTTCTTGATGGTGTTCATGATGTCTGGTTTTACTAGTGTGTGTGTTGCAAGCCGCCTACCTTCTTGATGGTGTTCATGATGTCTGGTTTTACTAGTGTGTGTGTTGCAAGCCGCCTACCTTCTTGATGGTGTTCATGATGTCTGGTTTTACTAGTGTGTGTGTTGCAAGCCGCCTACCTTCTTGATGGTGTTCATGATGTCTGGTTTTACTAGTGTGTGTGTTGCAAGCCGCCTACCTTCTTGATGGTGTTCATGATGTCTGGTTTTACTAGTGTGTGTGTTGCAAGCCGCCTACCTTCTTGATGGTGTTCATGATGTCTGGTTTTACTAGTGTGTGTGTTGCAAGCCGCCTACCTTCTTGATGGTGTTCATGATGTCTGGTTTTACTAGTGTGTGTGTGTGTGTTGCAAGCCGCCTACCTTCTTGATGGTGTTCATGATGTCCGGGTTTTTCTTCAGCATGACCTGGTTGACGGGCAACGCCTCGAGGTCCTCCATGATGGCAATACACTTGTCCACGTCCTGCACAGACAGACGGAGTGGTCACATAATAGGGGCGTCAAGTCTATGTCCCACGAAGGGCACTGACTATATTATCGCGATATCGGAAAATCCCATAATTCACACCCTGTTGGCTGTTTGCAGATCTGAGCAGGATATTTCATCGCTTGACTGAATATCCTGCTGGATGTCACAGTAAACATATCAGCTTGTTCATGAATGTGTCTGGAATGTTTTTGAAGTGGCATTACTGTATTCGACGTAATAAGCACACAGGGCACTCGCAAAATTAGAAATAGGGGGCTTATTAGAATATTATTTTGGTGAAAAAAAAAAAGTTGAAAGATAACTTTCGTGGTTTATGCTGGCAGCCTGAAATGTTTATGTACGACAGATATATTTTTCCAGAATTTGATTGCCCATAAATAAGGGTGCAAATAACACTTGTGCGCGTATTATACCGAATAATACAGTCTGTACCTGGAACTATTGTTCAAGGTGCAATTTCAGCACTAAAAATACATATTTCTTACTGATTCTTTAAATACCCAAAGAAAAGCTACCGATAAGCACACAAAACCAAATCTGACTGGGAATAAGGTGAGATGAGGTGAAATTGGGTTTAACGTCGCGTCCAAGATATTGTACTTATATAGCGACGTGCATGTACGTGTGTGTGGCTGCTTGTACTTGTCCGGACTGATGCCGATTTATAGTGCTAGCTCACTGAGATACCATGCCGCAGTTTAACATGAATACCCCACTCAGACACAGTATACTGACTCTGAGCCGACCAGTCCTTGTTTTAGCCCCTTAATGCCGAGCACCAGACAGGGTAACAACAAGTACCATCTTTTAACGTATTTTGGTATGACGCGGTCGGGGATCGAACCCCGGACCTTCCGCTCTCCGGGCGGACGCTCTACCACTAGACCACGGAGGCGGTGACTGGGAATAAGAAAGATTGAACATATAACACACAATTATTATATCCAAAAGTATCACAACATAAAAGCTTACTGTAGGCTTTTCTCAGTATTCTATCATACATCTCTGATAGGTTTAACCAATACTTAACCACTCTACACACAGCGTTTACATACAAAGGCAATAACTTTGTCACGACTGACCAATGGATCCAGTATTTGAAATAAAGTGAGTGAGTGAGTATGGTTTTACGCCGCTTTTAGCAATATTCCAGCAATATAACGGCGGGGGACACCAGAAATGGGCTTCACATATTGTACCCATGTCGGGAATCGAACCCGGGTCTTCGGCGTGACGAGCCAACGCTTTAACCACTAGGCTACCCGACCGCCCCATTTGAAATAAAGGGGTCATTGGTACCTCTAGCATTAGAATCTACGACCCCAAGCTTATTTGTTTGACATAGAGTATTTTCTCTTTTTTTTTAAATGTTTTCTGGGATAACTGGCAATTTCTTTTTCTTAAACCTGAGGCAGAATTATATTTTTCTATTTTTCTTGGAGAAAGTATTTGTTTACACTGAAGCAGATCGCCCACTCACCGTTTTATCAACCTGTAAGGACTTCTTTATTTCGATGTCCATCTGGATCAGCGTGGTCTCCGTCTGGATAACTGAAACAAACCAAGCCATCAATACTGTGTGTCTGGATAACCTAAACAAACCATCAATACTGTATCTGTCTGGATAACTGAAACAAACCAAGCCATCAATACTGTGTCTGTCTGGATAACTGAAACAAACCATCAATACAGTGTCGCTGTCTGGATAACCGAAACAAGCCATCGATACTGTATCTGTCAATGCTCATGATATCAATCACTGGGTTTCCTGGTTCATTCCGTTATTCATAGACCGCCGTCATAGCAACAGTGTTGCTGAGTGCGGTATCAAACAAACAATCCTCTATAAGCAGATTTGGAAATTGACTGTGAAATATAAATCCTATTAGGGCTGGGACGATACACCAACTGTGCGATCCGATATGTATCACGATACCTTGTTCACGATCTGATATGTATCACGATACTTGTATCTGCTCGTATCTGTAGTGCATAACCCATATTTTTCATAGACAAGATGTTGTTGGTTGTTGGTTTGTTGTTTAACGCCGCACTCAGCAATATTCCAGCTATATGACGGCGGTCTGTAAATAATCGAGTCTGGACCAGACAATCCAGTGATTGATATCATGAGCATCGATCCACGCAATTGAGATCGATGACATGCATCAACAAAGTCAGCGAGCCTGACCACCCGATCCCGTTAGTCGCCTTTTATGACAAGCATAGTCGCCTTTTACGGCAAGCATGGGTTTCTGAAGACCTATTCTACCCCGGATCTTCACGGGTCTCATAGACAAGATGGTCAAACTCCTTGCACACTGATGATTTAGAGTTGGCTGTGTCAGTGTGGTGCAACTGGTGAAATATTTAAGTTTTCACTACAATTTTCACTACCAATTTTCACAACTAACTTTCACTACCAATTTTCACTACCAATTTTCACTACTAATTAGAGTTTGGTGTAACAACAATTAAAGAAAACATGAATCGATAATTTTTAGTAATACTAGTATCGGGAAGTATCAGTGTATAGTCCCACCACTAGTCCTTATTTATACAACAGCAATTTTAATACATTGTTCAAGGTCACTCAGAGTTTTCTCTCTTCAACGTCCTGTGGACTCTAAGCGAGCTGGGTATATAATTGTCATCACTGTGACCATGTTTGTTCTTGTTAAAGTAATTAATCAGGGACGACCTGTGGCATTATTACTGTATGGGAGAATAATAGTAATTTGCATACTCCGAAATAATCTTAAAATCTAGCTTTGTGTCTGTCAAACATCAACATTTAAACAAGTGGAAGTTTTACAATCACTTTCTTTATTTAACACCGCACTCAGCAATATTCTAGCTATATGACGCCGGTCTGTAAATAATCGAGTCTGGACCAGACAATCCAGTGACTGACATCATGAGCATCGATCCACACAATTGGGATACGATGAATGGCTGAATGACTATGGTTTCATAGACTATTTCTAGTTCATACAAATTTAAATTGTATCACCTTATAATCTCTTTTTCTTTCTGGTCAAACGTACTGCATGTAAAATAAAGGTCACTCAGAGTTTTCTCTCTTCAACGTCCTGTGGACTCTAAGCGAGCTGGGTATATAATTGTCATCACTGTGACCATATCTAGTCTTGTTAAAGTAATCAATCAGGGAACGACTTGTGGCATTATGACAGTTTGGCAGAATATTACCGCCACTAAAACTATTTCAAACTTAAACTTTGTGCCTGTCGAATTTCAACTTTAGGTGTGTAAATTCAAAAATCATAAGTGTGTGGTTGTTCAACCCCATACTCCATAATATTCAAGGGACAACTTGCACAAAGCGATCTTAGCGCTAAGACGATCATAACTCCCATACTTTAACATAGGCTTACGATAGTCTTAGTGCTAAGATCGCTTTGTGCAAGTAGGCCCAGGGTGTCGTACAAAACAACCTTAACGCTACGACTGTCGTAGGTCTATGTTAAAGTATGGGAGTTACGATCATCTTAGCGCTAAGATCGCTTTGTACAACGGCACCCTGGTCAATGATGGCAGCCTTAAATTAATCAAGTCTGGACAATTAATAGGATCATCACCACTAATATACAGTGAATGATATAAGCAAAGCCATCAATCATGTCACCGAATCTTATCACCCAGACCTAATAGTCGCGTCTTATGACCAGCATACGATGCTAATGACCAATCGTTGTCCAGAGTTTACAATCAGCTCACAGCACATCAGTCATCATCCTGAGGCGAAGGAATTAACTAACTATATAAGTACAGTTTCTACCCTTGCCGAACTAGACTGGTATTTCGGAGTTATTATACTAAACAAACATCCGGTTCGTATACTGCGGTACAAATTTCATTCAATTGCAGGATTCGCAAAGCAGATGTACCTCAACTTGGTATTGATATATCATCTAAATCTTTTTAAAATTTATAAGGTGCTCAAGTAATTTTAAGCATTTCGCGATGTAAAACCCGTTTGATAACAATATAGAGATCTTGATTATCGATCAGATCATCTTGACTGGGTGTTGACAATTTGCGGGAACTTACAGCAAGTAAATATGAGAGGTGGAATCTGATTGGTTGGCGGGAGGGACATAGAAGGGAAATAAGTCGTAATAGCCACTGATGGCGCTACAATCAAGCCACGAAATTTCAGCCTAGTTCGGAAAAGGTGGAAAGTGGTCTTTATGGTACTTTAATGCAAGATGACCTTGTGTTATGTGGCAGTAGATTTTATTGAAGATTGAAGACATCAAGAGCATCAATCCACGCAATTGGTAAATTGGTAGGTTGGTTGGTTTGTTGTTAAACGTCCCACTCAGCAATATTCCAGCTATATGATGGCAGTCTGTAAACAATCAAGTCTGGACCAGACAATCCAGTGATTGACATGAGCACTGATCCACGCAATTTGGATATGATGACATGCATCAACCAAGTCAGCGAGCCTAACCACCCGATCCCGTTAGTTGCTTTTGACGGCAAGCATGGGTTACTGAAGACAAGTGTAACACTTGTAATCTAAAGTAGACAAACTGCCTCATACGAACAGCTACAAAAGTCAATCACTTTTTCCCACTACTGGTGAGAAGCTTTGTACAAAATAATGTTTATCTGGCCTTGTACACTCAAAAAATCAGCTGTCCCCATCAACACCCCCACTTGTAAACGGGACACAAATAATTCTGATTTCGCCCTGTCAACTCAGACAAAGCTGAAGCTGTCACCGAGAAAACCAAAGGTTTAACTCAAGGGGAATAGTCGTCATCCCTGTTGACATTTCTTGGGCACGCTATTCTCAAATATTTATACTATGGTCTTCTTGAATCTTTTTGTTTTTAGCATGTTTATAGAACCCTAAAGTTTGAAAGTTGTATTCCAGTCTTGTTACCCTTCAGGCGAGGCTCCATTCATTGCGTTCATTCACACTCAGTGTCCAAACGTCAAACACTAGATCAAGCAGTTGGATTCTTTACTTAGCTGGGGGACAGCACATTGTAAAAATGAATTTGACCTTTGGAACTGACGACATTGACCTTTGGAACTGACGACATTGACCTTTGGAACTGACAAGGTTTTCCTTTGGCACTGACGACATTGACCTTTGGCACTGACCTTTGGCACTGATGACACTGACCTTTGGCACTGACGACATTGACCTTTGGCACTGACGACATTGACCTTTGGCACTGACAACATTGACCTTTGGCACTGATGACACTGACCTTTGGCACTGACGACATTGACCTTTGGCACTGACAACATTGACCTTTGGCACTGATGACACTGACGACATTGACCTTTGGCACTGACAACATTGACCTTTGGCACTGATGACACTGACCTTTGGCACTGACGACATTGACCTTTGGCACTGACAACATTGACCTTTGGCACTGATGACACTGACCTTTGGCACTGACGACATTGACCATTCACTCATTTACAATAACCTTAGCCAGGATCTTGAAATTTAACCAACATACAAATTTGGTGATGAAATCTTTTTTTTTAATGACGTGACCTTGACCTATCAGGCAGCATTTTGAGTCTGACCTTGACCTTTGATCTTATAATTCCACATGCGTTCATGACTATGGATAACCAGCACTTAAAAGATCAAATATGTTTTTTTCTTACTTCAATTAAAAAACTGAAGCATCCACCAAACATGCTTGTATTAGTGCTAATGCAGCCTCTAAAAAATATTAACTCTTACATTGCTTTCCACTTCCAGTGAGTTGGCCAAGTATGAAAGGCTTGTATTCACAAACTTTTTCTGTTCTGTTTTCGCCCTGTCAACTCAGACAAAGCTGAAGCTTTCACCGAGAAAACCAAAGGTTTAACTCAAGGGGAATAGTCGTCATCCTTGTTGACATTTCTTGGGCATTATTGACATTAACATGAATCGAATAACAGTTTGGGAAAATTTACAGAATAACAGTTTGGGGAATCTAACAAAATAACCAGTGGTTGACTTCATGATAAAAATTCCATGCCATCGTGATACAATGATATGCTTTGTTTGTTTAATGCTGCACTCAGCAATGTCCCAGCTATATGACAGCAGTCTGTGAATAACAGACTCTGGACCAGACAATCAAGTGATTGATATGAGCATCAATCTATGCAATTGGGATATGACGACAAGCATCAACCAAGCCAGCAAGCCTGAGCACCCGATCCTGTTAGTCGCCTCTTACCAGGCAATCCAGTGATTGATGTCATGAGCATCTATACCCTCTGTGGGTGCACCCAAAATCTGACAATAGTCCCCAGCAAGAATTATCAAATTCAAACCCGGCAAAAGCAGTTTTAAACAAAACATGGTGCATTCCTCCGCTGAGGAAACCACAATAAAATGTCCCATTTTCTGCAATGGCTGTCAACTCAGACAAAGCTGAAGCTGTCACTGAGAAATCAAAAGATTTACTCAAGGGGAATAATCGTCATCCTTGTTGACAGCCATATACTGGGGTACCAAAAGTAACTCACTCCAGTACTTGACTGGGCTGATTTCTATTGATTCTATTTGATTATTTTCTGGAACTAGTACTTACAATGTATTTTTTCTTTCTTCTTCTGTTCGTATTTTATGCGTTTCTTTCTTTCCTTCTCCTCTTCCTTGTCATGGCTGCAAATAGATTCATTTGTTTCAGATAATCCATTTGTTTCAGATAATCCATTTGTTTCAGATGATCCATTTGTTTCAGATGATCCATTTGTTTCAGATGATCCATTTGTTTCAGATAATCCATTTGCGTCAGATAATACATTTGTTTTAGATTATCCAACTTTTCAGATTGTTAGTGGCGGCAAATCAGAAACCACAGCCCAAACAGCTAATAAAAGCATTTTTGTTCCTCCAAGATTCATTTTACAACATGACCGGTCAACTCAGACAAAGCTGAAGCTGTCACTGAGAAACCAAAGATTTAACTCAAGGGGAATAATCGTCATCCTTGTTGACAGCCATGCTGCAAGTGTTTCAAAATCAAAATGGATCATCACCCTGACGCAACTGTCGAAATCCTAGAGATGTATTTTTTAGCAATATTCAACCGATATCGAAGCGGAGGACATCAGAACTGAGTCTCAGACATTGAGCAAACGCTATTACCACTAGGCTACCCCACCACCCCTCTTAGCGATGTAGGTTTTAATTGAACAAAGGGAGACTTCATTACGTGTCCTGTTACGGAGGCTACTCACTGTCTTCTTTCTTTATCCTGTTTTTTCTTCTTTTCATCGTCTTCCTTCTCCAAAGATTCGGCCTTCAGCGTCTCCTCCTTCTTTGCCTTAGATTCCTACAACAGTAGGCGAGAGATTGAGTGTCTGTGCAAGTGAGAGGCTGTGCAAGTGAGCGGCTGTGCAAGTGAGTTTGCGTGAGTGAGAGTTTGCGTGAGTGAGTGTCTGCGTGAGAGTGTCTGCACGAGTATCTGCACGAGTGTGTGAGTGAGGGTGCAAGTGTCTGCGCGAGTGAGTCTGCGCAAGTGTGTGTCTGCGCAAGTGTGTCTGCCCGAGCGAGTGTCTGCGCGAGCGAATGTCTGTGAGTGAGTGTCTGCGGAGTGAGTGGCTGTACGAGTGTGCGAATGAGTGTGCGAGTGCGAGTGTCTGCACCAGTGTGCGAGTGTGTCTGCGCAAGTGTGTGTCTGCGCAAGTGTGTCTGTGCGAGCGAGTGTCTGCGCAAGTGTGTGTCTGCGCAAGTGTGTCTGTGCGAGCGAGTGTCTGCGCAAGCGTGTGTCTGCGCAAGTGTGTGTCTGCGCAAGTGTGTCTGCGCGAGCGAGTGTGTGTGCGAGCGAGTGTCTGCGCAAGTGTGTGTCTGCGCAAGTGTGTCTGGGCGAGCGAGTGTCTGCGCAAGTGTGTGAGAGCGAGTGTCTGCGCAAGTGTGTGTCTGCGATTGAGTGTGTGCAAGAGTGAGTATGTGCACAAGTGTGTGTGCGTGTGTCTGTGCGTGAGTGAGCGTCTCTGCAAGAGTAGGATTTGGCTATGTGTGTGGGTGTATTTGAATTGGTGAGTTGGGTTGGATGCCACTTAAAACAGTATGGCCAGGTTCAAAATCAAGATAAGTCCTCCTGTCTATTCCTAAGGACATATTAAGGTCACTCAGAGTTTTCTCTCTTCAACGTCCTTTGGACTCTAAGCGAGCTGGGATTATAACTGTCATCACTGTGACCATTTAACATTAATTTGGCAATCATGGGACAATTCTTCACAACATTCTTCTCAAATCACCGTAAATGAAGTTATTTTGGACTTCTTTTGACAGCAGCAGAAGTCTGGGGCTCATACACTCCTGAAGGTATCGTTTATATCATTGAAAAGGCCATTGTTTAGATTCTCACCTTCAGTTTCTTTGTTTCTCTTCTCTTTGATTCCTTTGGTTGGTTTTCGGGTTTCTCTTCCACTGCTTCCTCCTTGGAGAAATAAACACAAACATACTCGTCAAAACCCAGGTGTGAGGTGGGGAAATAAACACAAACATACTTGTCAAAACCCAGGTGTGAGGTGGGGAAATAAACACAAACATACTTGTCACAACCCAGGTGTGAGGTGGGGAAATAAACACAAACATACTTGTCAAAACCCAGGTGTGAGGTGGGGAAATAAACACAAATATACTCGTCAAAACCCTGGTGTGAGGTGGGGAAATAAACACAAACATACTCCTCAAAACCCAGGTGTGAGGTGGGGAAATAAACACAAACATACTCCTCAAAACCCAGGTGTGAGGTGGGGAAATAAACACAAACATACTCCTCAAAACCCAGGTGTGAGGTGGGGAAATAAACACAAACATACTTGTCAAAACCCAGGTGTGAGGTGGGGAAATAAACACAAACATACTCCTCAAAACCCAGGTGTGAGGTGGGGAAATAAACACAAACATACTTGTCACAACCCAGGTGTGAGGTGGGGAAATAAACACAAACATACTTGTCAAAACCCAGGTGTGAGGTGGGGAAATAAACACAAACATACTCGTCAAAACCCTGGTGTGAGGTGGGGAAATAAACACAAACATACTCCTCAAAACCCAGGTGTGAGGTGGGGAAATAAACACAAACATACTTGTCACAACCCAGGTGTGAGGTGGGGAAATAAACACAAACATACTCGTCACAACCAAGGTGTGAGGTGGCAAAATCAGAGGACCAAACTCTCAGAGGACCAAACTCCTGAGAGGACCAGACTCCTGAGAGGACCAAACTCCTGAGAGGACCAAACTCCTGAGAGGACCAAACTCTCGAGAGGACCAAACTCCTGAGAGGACCAAACTCTCGAGAGGACCAAACTCCTGAGAGGACCAAACTCCTGAGAGGACCAGACTCCTGAGAGGACCAAACTCTTGAGAGGACCAAACTCTTGAGAGGACCAAACTCCTGAGAGGACCAGACTCCTGAGAGGACCAAACTCCTGAGAGGACCAAACTCTCGAGAGGACCAAACTCCTGAGAGGACCAAACTCTCGAGAGGACCAAACTCCTGAAAGACCAAACTCTTGAGAGGACCAAACTCCTGAGAGGACCAAACTCTCAAGAGGACTAAACTCTCAAGAGGACCAAACTCTTGAGAGGGCCAAACTCCCGAGAGGACCAGTAAGTTTTAGAACCAGCGTTAGAAATTGGCACTTGTCCTGTATTCCTTGCCAAACTGCCCAATAGTTAAGGTATCATAAGGACTAGTAGAAATTTGCCTTTTTTAAGGTTTTTTCTATATGTTATCATCATAAGGACTAATGAACTAAAAAATTTCTACCATTGAGAACAGTATAGTCACTCAAAGTTTTCTCTCAACTTCCTGTAGACACTAAGCACCAGCAACTTAGTGCCATCAGGTCTTGTTCAAAGTTTTCTTTGAAGCAGAAAGATTTAACAATTATGCTGTGAAAATAACTACCTTAGCTCTTGATACATTGTTCAAGGTCACTCAGAGTTTTCTCTCTTCAACGTCCTGTGGACTCTAAGCGAGCTGGGTATATAATTGTCATCACTGTGACCATATTTGTTCTTGTTAAAGTCATCAATCAGGGACGACTAGTTTTTATTACTGTTTTGGAGAATAATAGTAATTTGCATCCACCGAAATAATCTTAAAATCTAGCTTTGTGTCTGTCAAACATCAACATTTAGTGGAAGTTTTACAATCACTATCTTTATTTAAAGCTGCACTCAGCAACATTCTAGCTATACAACGGCGTTCTTTAAATAATCGAGTCTGGACCAGACAATTCAGTGATTGACATCATGAGCATCGATCCACACAATTGGGATACGATGAATGGCTGAATGACTATGGTTTCATAGACTATTCCTAGTTCATACAAATTTAAATTGTATCACTTTATAATCTCATTTTCTTTCTGGTCAAACGTACTGCATGTAAAAGAAACGTCACTCAGAGTTTTCTCTCTTCAACGTCCTGTGGACTCTAAGCGAGCTGGGTATATAATTGTCATCACTGTGACCATATTTAATCTTGTTAAAGTAATCAATCAGGGATGTCTGCCTATGATAATCTGACATTTGTGTTTACATAGCTGACATATTGTTTGTTGTTTAACACCGCACTCAGCTATATGACGGCGGTCTGTAAATAATCGAGTCTGGACCAGACAATCCAGTGATTGATGTCATGAGCATCGATCCACGCCATTGGGATCGATGACATGCATCAACCAAGTCAGCGAGCCTGTCCACCTGATCCCATTAGTCGCCTTTTACGACAAGCATAGTCACCTTTGACGGCAAGTATGACATCATGAGCATCGACCTTCGCAACTGTGATTCGTTGATGCGCCAAACAAGTCAGCGAGCCTGACCACCCGATCCCATTAGTCGCCTTTTACGACAAGCATAGTCACCTCTTAAGACAAGCATGGGTTGCTGAAGACCTTTTCTAAGCCAATCTTCACGGGTAATTCACCATATAAAGACCATTTACAGTGAGTTGGCCAAGTGTGAAAGGGTTGTATTCACAAACTTTTTCTGTTCTGTTTTCGCCCTGTCAACTCAGACAAAGCTGAAGCTTTCACTGAGAAAACCAAAGGTTTAACTCAAGGGGAATAGTCGTCATCCTTGTTGACATTTCTTGGGCATTATTGACATTAACATGAAATGAATAACATTGTTTGTTTGTTGTTAAAGCTGCACTCAGCAACAATCCACGCCATTGGGAGCCTGACCACCCGATCTCGTTAGTCGCCTTTTACGACAAGCATTGTCACTTTTTACGACAAGCATGGTCACCTTTTACGACAAGCATTGTCACCTTTTACAACAAGCATTGTCACCTTTTACGACAAGCATTGTCACCTTCTACGACAAGCATGGGTTGCTGAAGATCAATTCTAACTCTGATCTTCACAGGTTCAGTGCCTGTGATCATGTATAAGTTATTTTAGTGGCGATGGTGGAAACTTGTAAATATATTTAAAGTAATAGTCAAAATGACGACTGCAAATGATTGCACCACTTGTGAAAATTCTCCAAGTGCTGTTCTAGCAGTGTGGCGAGTGGGGTGTCCAGAATAGATTTGTATTAGACCTAGAGTTATCTGCCCTTGTGTACATGAACATGGCTTGAAAAGTATAGAATTTTTGGGATGTGACAGTTTCTAGAAGGCTAGAAGTACCCGTGAAAGAAAGACAATGTGCATAGGTGCGGTGAGGTGAAATGGGGTTTAACGTCACGTCCAAGATTATTGCACTTATATAGCAACGTGCATGTACGGGTGTGTGTTTGTGTGGCTGCTTGTACTAGTCCGGACTGATGCCGATTTATAGTGCTAGCTCACTGAGATACCATGCCGCAGTTTAACATGAATACCCCACTCAGACACAGTATACTGACTCCGGGCCGACCAGTCCTTGTTTTTGCCCCTTAATGCCGAGCGCCAGACAGGGTAACAACAAGTACCATCTTTTAACGTCTTTTGGTATGACGTGGCCGGGGACAATGTGCATAGAGTAATACAAGACAGAGGTTGAGTTATTATTCAGACTGGTCATTTTTGCTTACTACGAAACGGGCAACCTACCTTCTCCGCTTCCTCTTCATTCTCCTCCACCTCCATCTTCTCTTCCCCTCCGACACCCTCGTCCTTCACCGCGGCGCCCTCTTCCTCGTTCTTCTCCTTCTTGGCTGCCTCCTTCCTCCCCACTTCCTCCCCCTCCGACTCATCGCTACTCAGCACCTTCACCTTCTTGCTCTTCTTCTCCGACTTTGGCTCAGACTTTTTCTCACTGTCTTTTTCTTTCGATTTCTCTTTTAATTTTTCTTCCTTTTTCAATTCCTTTTCTTTCACTTTTTTCTCACTTTTGTCTTTCGTTTCCTCATTTTCCTCCAAAACTGAATCATCTTTTGTCGAGTCTTTGTGTTTTCTGGATTTCTTCACACTTTTCTCTTCACTTTTCTCTGTCTTTTTATTCTTTTTCACTTTTTCTTTTTCTACATCAGAATCATCCTCATCATCATCGTCTTTATGTTTTGATCGGTCTAAACTTTCTTTTCGCTTCCGTTTTCTTTCTTTTTCATCGTCTGCATCCTGTTGTTGAAACAGAGCAAGGTATCAATCTTTAGACTGGTGAATTATTTAAAACTAGAAAGTGTTTTTACTCGTAAAAACATATGTCTCCCCCCACTCCCCTAACCCCCATTCATTCGTTTACTTCACGTTAAACCCCATCTCTTCATTCCCACCCTCCATTACTAAATAACAGAGACAAAAATAGAACTCCTAGAAATTTCAAACAACTAATGGGCACCACTTCAGCGTCTAATCAACACCACTAATCCCTCAATCATTTACCCACCTGACAGTGTAGTCATCTAAGTAGCACAGTTTTCTTGTTACTGAAGTATTTGTAGAAAATCCACTTAAAGTACTAATAGAGTTTGGACACAAATATATTAATATCCCCAACATATCAGAAATGATGTAGCAATGTTATATGGCACAAAGGAAAGTCTCTGTGATGTAATTGCCCGTGTATCTGACTCTGCAGGTCTTCTACACAATGACATATGTGATGTCATGGAAACTGTAATAGCAAGGCACCACACCAGCTCTCTGATGTGAAAGATCCTTGACATAAATATGGTCAATAACAGTTTCTTTCCTGGTAGTGGACACTTCAATCAGCAAAAATAATTCACAATATTTTAATTCTAGAATTGCTTTGAATTCAATAATATTGAAAAGATCAAATTCTTAAATTTCATTATAAGCAAAAGACACAGAAATATTGAAGGGGTGTTGAGTTTAGTTCTGGAACAAAGCCCATCCCAATACAGAGTCTAAGTTAAACTTGTCTCCATAAACAAGAAAAAATGAAATGTGAAAAACTTCTAAATAGCAAAAGCACAACTTCAGGACTTGGTTAATATGTTACAACTTCATGAAATAATATTGAACAGTTTTTGAGTTATGGTCCAGAAACAAAGCTTACCCCAATTCAGAGTCTATGTTCAAGTTATCTCCATGGAAACGAGAAAAAATAAAAATGTCAAAAATCTCTAAATAGCAAAAGGCACCACTTCAGTGCTGGATTAATGTGTATATTAAGTTTCGCGAAAAATATTAAACGGTTTCCGAGTTATGGTCCGGAAACCAAGCTTACCCCAATTCAGAGTCTATGTTCAAGTTATCTCCATGGAAACGAGAAAAAATAAAAATGTCAAAAATCTCTAAATAGCAAAAGGCACCACTTCAGTGCTGGGTTAATGTGTATACAAAGTTTCGCGAAAAAATATTAAACAGTTTCTGAGTTATGGTCCAGAAACGGTGGGAACGCCGACGCCGACGCCGACGGGAACCGTGCCAAAAACAATATGTCTCCCTCCATTCTGGGGGAGACATAATAACATCGTGAAGAGGAATACAACAGTTCATTACAATAGAGTTCTCTCCTCAAAGTTTTATCAAATATTTTTTAAATTCCTGAGAAGTTATGAGATGGTTCTCAGAGTTCTTGCTGGTCTTGTGGTCTGGCAACTCTAAAAATTACCAGTCCCCCCTAATTTTTGCCATCCCAACTTTCAACAAATAAAAAAAAACTATGAAAATTATTTGGTTTTAATTCTTTCGAATTCATGTTCAGTGCAAAGATGTCATCCCTGCAGTAACTTAGTTAGATCTTTACGTCATTCACACAGACTTCAGTCACAATTTTCTCTTTGTTTTTTAATATTTCGAGACAAAGTCGCTACAAACGGATATTTAACCTAGAAATAGACAAGGGGAAAACCCTGATGGTAACAGACAAGCTGACTTTGTTCGAAAAATGTACTTCTATGAATATCACCGTTGCTGAAGACCTATTCTACCCCGGACAGTAATGTTTTCTATGAAGCAGCAAGATTTAACCATAATAAAAATAACTACTTTTGCTTTTAATACATTGTTCAAGGTCACTCAGAGTTTTCTCTCTTCAACGTCCTGTGGACTCTAAGCGAGCTGGGTATATAATTGTCATCACTGTGACCATATCTATTCCTCTTAAAGTAATTATTCAGGGACTGTTTTGGAGAATATAAGTAGTGAGTGAGTATGGTTTTACGCCGATTTTAGCAATATTCCAGCAATATCACAGCGGAGGACACCAGAAATGTGCTTCGCACATTGTACCCATATCGGGAATCGAACCCGGGTCTTCTATGTGATGAGCGAACGCTTTAACCACTAGGCTTCCTGACCGCCCCACATCCAATTTACTATTCAGTGTCTGTCAAACATCAACATTTAAATCAGTGGAAGTCTTACAATCACTATCTTTTCTTAACGTCGCACTCAGCAATATTACAGCTATATGATGGTAGCATGTAAATAATCAAGTCTGGACCAGACAATCCAGTGATTGATCCAGTATCACTCAACACAATTGGGATACGATAAATAATTGAAAGAAAAGCAACTTAGCAATTTTAATACATTGTTCAAGGTCACTCAGAGTTTTCTCTCTTCAACGTCCTGTGGACTTTAAGCGAGCTGGGTATATAATTGTCATCACTGTGACCATATCTATTCTTGTTAAAGTCATCAAACAGGGACGACTAGTTGCATTATTACTGTTTGGGAGAATAATAGTAATTTCTGAACCAATTTCTAAATCTGGCTTTGTGCCTCTAAAGCATTAACATTTAAACAAGACTTAGTGAATGTTTTACAATCATGAGTGCGACTGTGGTTGTTGTCTGACGACACTCAGCAATATTCCAGCTATATTACCTCAGCATGTAAATAATCAAGTCTAGACCAGACAATCCAGTGATTGATATCATGAGTATCAATCTACATAATTGGGATATGATGAATGATTGAATGACTTAGGATTAATTAGACTGTACTTCTAGCATGGTTTACACAAATTTAAATTAGGTCACATTATAATTTGCCATCTCATTTCTTTCTGGTCAAACTTACATGTAAAATAAAGGTCACTCAGAGCTTTCTCTCTTCAACGTCCTGTGGACTCTAAGCGAGCTGGGTATATAATTGTCATCACTGTGACCATGTATTTGGAAATTTGGATGAGATTGCAGTTTACTTGATGCACAAGAACTACATCAGGATTAATTTTTTATGACTTCCACAATACCTCCCTGTCAGCCGCAGGTGAAAGTGAAAGTGAATGCTGTTGTTAGAGTAATGGCTGTTTTTAATTAGGAATGGTGGGGTTGACGAGAAAAAAACATGATTTGATTACTTCAAACCGGACAAAAAATGAATTCATTTTAATAAAACGTTGATCAATGCTCATGATATCAATCATTGGATTGTTTGGTCCAGACTCGATTATTTACAGACAGCCGTCATATAGCTGGAATATTGCAGAGTGTGGCGTAAAACATCAAACCAAAATAAAACGGTTAATGGTTAAGTAACTTTGAATGGGCAGAAATGAATGAAGATGGCAGTGAGTGAGTGAGTGAGTGAGTGAGTGAGTGAGTGAGTGAGTGAGTGAGTGAGTGAGTGAGTGAGTGAGTGAGTGAGTGAGTGAGAGTGAGTGACACCAGAAATGTGGGGAATCGAACCCAGATCTTCGGTGTGACGAGTGAACACTTTAACCACCAGGCTACCTCGCCACACCCATATTGCTGAGAGGTGAGGTGAAATGGGGTTTAACGTCGCGTCCAAGATTATTGCACTTATGTAGCGACGTGCATGCACGTTTGTGTGTGTGTGTCTGCTTGTACTAGTCCGGACTGATGCCGATTTATAGTGCTAGCTCACTGAGATACAATGCCGCAGTTGAATACCCCACTCAGACACAGTATACTGACTCCGAGCCAACCAGTCCTTGTTTTAGACCCTTAATGCCGAGCGCCAGACAGGGTAACAACAAGTACCATCTTTTAACGTCTTTTGGTATGACGCGGTCGGGGATCGTACCCCGGATCTTCCGGTCTCCGGGCGGACGCTCTACCACTAGACCACGGAGGCGGTCGCATATTGCTGAGAATCTACAGGCTTTGCTGTTGTACTCAGCCACAAGAAGGCAACTCTCCTACTTCTCTGGCCTAGTCCTCTCACCACAAAGTCTTCAAACTTCTTCTTCTTGCGATGCCTCTTGTGTGTGTCGCGGTCATCCTCGTCTTCCACATCCTCCCCCCGCGCCTCCTTCTCCTTCTGCAACTCCTCCGACGCGATCCGGATACGTTCCTCCTCCGCTACCCGGCGCCTGCAACACACACAGACATGTCACACACTGGCTTGCAACACACACTGGCAACATGCCGACTTGCAACACGCCGACTTGCAACACACACTGGCAACACACACTGGCAACACGCCGACTTGCAACACACACTGGCAACACGCCGACTTGCAACACACACTGACATGTCACACGCCGACTTGCAACATGCTGACTTGCAACACACACTGGCAATACGCCGACTTGCAACACGCCGACTTGTGACACACAATGCACACACTGGCATGTATATGTTGTTCAGCAAAGTTTAAAAAACTTCCAAGAATAGAAAGTTAGATTTAAATACTAGCGGCATTCTGGCTGCTCCAACAATCCTTAGGACAAGCATTCAAGGCCAAAAGTGATAAATATTTGTTTTAAACAAGCAAGATAAAAAATATTTTTGTACCTCCTGACTTTTGTTTAAACTAACAGGATGTGAGGGAGCATTTCAGTTCTAGATTTTGTTTGTTTGTTTATTTGTTGTTTAACGCCGCACTCAGCAATATTCCAGCTATATGACGGTGGTCTGTAAATACTTGAGTCTGGACCAGACAATACAGTGATTGATATCATGAGCATCTATGCAATTGGGATCGATGACATTCATCAACCAAGTCAGCGAGCCTGACCACCCGATCCAGTTAGTTGCCTCTTACGACAAGCATAGTCACCTTTACGGCAAGCATGGGTTATTCAAGACCTATTCTACCCCGAATCTTCACGGGTCCAGTTCTAGGTACAAAAAGTCAAAGTCGGCAGATTTTATCGACATAAAACAAATTTCAGTGTTGATAGTAAAATGATGGGTTACTGAAAACATCTATCTTTTTGGGCCTAAAGGCTTGGATCAGTCCTAAAGGTAATATCAACTATTTCCAGATATATCTGAAGATTGTTTTTCAATTTTTGTGCATTCATCGAAAAATAAGCGTCAAAATTGTATTAAATCGCGCAGCGTAGCAACAGAAGCTTGTTTGGAAGAAATCATGAACTGTATGGTGCTATAAGCTCTCATCGCATTAAAACATACTCTTTTGAATAGTTTGTTAAATTCATTGATTGATCGTTCATCACTGAGGACCTTTTCTGGAGTCCAATACATGGGAGTTCACGATATTATTTTAGACTATTTCAAATGTTGCAAGTTGGAGCAATGAGGTCACAGGAAATCCCTTAATAAAAGATAGCGTTTCTGCGGTTATCGAAAAAATAACATTCAATTTAGAATCCATGTCAGAATCACGGCTATTACGAAAACACACACACATTGCAATTCCTTGCCGACTCCGTGCACGACAAACACTGGTCCGCTGGTTGGAGTCTAGTGTATTTTCTTAAAGACCAGCAATATTAAATAAATGGTGGTCTGGTGGTCTAGTGTTATTCTGGGGACGAACAAAATAATTTAAGTTTGTATGAATTTTGAAATCAGCGATTGATCAAGTCAGAACTCTAAGCACAATTGTGTCTAGTAGAGTGAGTGAGTGAGTATGGTTTTACGCTGCTTTTAGCAATATTCCAGCAATGTCACGGCGGGGGACACGAGAAATGGGCTTCACCAGTGTACACATGGGATTCGAACCCGGGTCCTTGGCGTGACGAGCGAACGCTTGAACCACTAGGCTACCCGACCGCCCTGTGTCTAGTAGAGATCTAACAGGACCAGTAGATTTGAATTGGTGCCGGTCCTTGGCGTGACGAGCGAACGCTTTAACCACTAGGCTACCCGACCGCCCTGTGTCTAGTAGAGATCTAACAGGACCAGTAGATTTGAATTGGTGCCGGTCCTTGGCGTGACGAGCGAACGCTTTAACCACTAGGCTACCCGACCGCCCTGTGTCTAGTAGAGATCTAACAGGACCAGTAGATTTGAATTGGTGCCGGTCCTTGGCGTGACGAGCGAACGCTTGAACCACTAGGCTACCCGACCGCCCTGTGTCTAGTAGAGATCTAACAGGACCAGTAGATTTGAATTGGTGCCGGTCCTTGGCGTGACGAGCGAACGCTTGAACCACTAGGCTACCCGACCGCCCTGTGTCTAGTAGAGATCTAACAGGACCAGTAGATTTGAATTGGTGCCGGTCCTTGGCGTGACGAGCGAACGCTTGAACCACTAGGCTACCCGACCGCCCTGTGTCTAGTAGAGATCTAACAGGACCAGTAGATTTGAATTGGTGCCGGTCCTTGGCGTGATGAGCGAACGCTTTAACCACTAGGCTACCCGACCGCCCTGTGTCTAGTAGAGATCTAACAGGACCAGTAGATTTGAATTGGTGCCGGTCCTTGGCGTGACGAGCGAACGCTTTAACCACTAGGCTACCCGACCGCCCTGTGTCTAGTAGAGATCTAACAGGACCAGTAGATTTGAATTGGTGCCGGTCCTTGGCGTGACGAGCGAACGCTTTAACCACTAGGCTACCCGACCGCCCTGTGTCTAGTAGAGATCTAACAGGACCAGTAGATTTGAATTGGTGCCGGTCCTTGGCGTGACGAGCGAACGCTTTAACCACTAGGCTACCCGACCGCCCTGTGTCTAGTAGAGATCTAACAGGACCAGTAGATTTGAATTGGTGCCGGTCCTTGGCGTGACGAGCGAACGCTTTAACCACTAGGCTACCCGACCGCCCTGTGTCTAGTAGAGATCTAACAGGACCAGTAGATTTGAATTGGTGCCGGTCCTTGGCGTGACGAGCGAACGCTTTAACCACTAGGCTACCCGACCGCCCTGTGTCTAGTAGAGATCTAACAGGACCAGTAGATTTGAATTGTTGCCGGTCCTTGGCGTGACGAGCGAACGCTTTAACCACTAGGCTACCCGACCGCCCTGTGTCTAGTAGAGATCTAACAGGACCAGTAGATTTGAATTGGTGCCGGTCCTTGGCGTGACGAGCGAACGCTTTAACCACTAGGCTACCCGACCGCCCTGTGTCTAGTAGAGATCTAACAGGACCAGTAGATTTGAATTGGTGCCGGTCCTTGGCGTGACGAGCGAACGCTTTAACCACTAGGCTACCCGACCGCCCTGTGTCTAGTAGAGATCTAACAGGACCAGTAGATTTGAATTGTTGCCGGTCCTTGGCGTGACGAGCGAACGCTTTAACCACTAGGCTACCCGACCGCCCTGTGTCTAGTAGAGATCTAACAGGACCAGTAGATTTGAATTGGTGCCGGTCCTTGGCGTGACGAGCGAACGCTTTAACCACTAGGCTACCCGACCGCCCTGTGTCTAGTAGAGATCTAACAGGACCAGTAGATTTGAATTGTTGCCGGTCCTTGGACCGCTGACAAATGATGGTCAGTGTCTGTGACTTACTTCTCCTCTTCCTCCTTGATACGCTTCTCAATGTCCTTCTTCCTCTCCTCGTCTCGCTTCTTCCAGCTGCTCACACCGTCGTTGGAATCACTACGACAACAGATATTGCAAGTCAGACACTTATCATTGAGAGGATATAGGACATTGAAGGACATTGAAGGACATTCATGAGGACAAAGTCATCAATGTCCCCTGAATAAATATATGAAACCCGTTGCCATGGAAACTCGAGACATATTTGTTGAAAGATCACGATCAATCAAAATGCACCAGTTCACCACTACAGCTGTTTGTGTGCCAAGTTTGGTGAAGAAATATAGCATGGTTTTCAGGGGTGGGGTTGTATCGAGGGTGATTCAGACAAGCTCACATATCTGTCACTGTCAGACTGAGAGCTGACCTCACTAGACATAGCGCATACCTGTCGCTGTCAGTATCGAGGGTAAATCAGATAAGCGGCCCACATACCTGTCGCTGTCAGTATCGAGGGTGATTCAGATAAGCGGCCCAGGGTGATTCAGATAAGCTGCCCACATACCTGTCGCTGTCAGTATCGAGGGTGATTCAGATAAGCGGCCCGCATACCTGTCGCTGTCAGTATCGAGGGTGATTCAGATAAGCGGCCCAGGGTAAATCAGATAAGCAGCCCACATACCTGTCGCTGTCAGTATCGAGGGTGATTCAGATAAGCGGCCCAGGGTAAATCAGATAAGCAGCCCACATACCTGTCGCGGTCAGTATCGAGGGTGATTCAGATAAGCGGCCCGCATACCTGTCGCTGTCAGTATTGAGGGTGATTCAGATAAGCGGCCCAGGGTAAATCAGATAAGCAGCCCACATACCTGTCGCTGTCAGTATAGAGGGTGATTCAGATAAGCGGCCCACATACCTGTCGCTGTCAGTATCGAGGGTGATTCAGATAAGCGGCCCACATACCTGTCGCTGTCAGTATCGAGGGTGATTCAGATAAGCGGCCCACATACCTGTCGCTGTCAGTATCGAGGGTGATTCAGATAAGCGGCCCACATACCTGTCGCTGTCAGTATCGAGGGTGATTCAGATAAGCGGCCCACATACCTGTCGCTGTCAGTATCGAGGGTGATTCAGATAAGCGGCCCACATACCTGTCGCTGTCAGTATCGAGGGTGATTCAGATAAGCGGCCCACATACCTGTCGCTGTCAGTGTCGAGGGTGATTCAGATAAGCGGCCCACATACCTGTCGCTGTCAGTGTCGAGGGTGATTCAGATAAGCGGCCCACATACCTGTCGCTGACAGTATCGAGGGTGATTCAGATAAGCGGCCCACATACCTGTCGCTGTCAGTATCGAGGGTAAATCAGATAAGCGGCCCACATACCTGTCGCTGTCAGTATCGAGGGTAAATCAGATAAGCGGCCCACATACCTGTCGCTGTCTGAGCTGAGGCTGTCACAAGATATGGGGGGTTTCTCTTCCGCCTTTTTCTTCCCACCCGTGGACGGACGACCAGCTGCAATGTAAGAGCATTGACTTTTTTTCCGGAACTCGAACAGACAAAGTAAAAACAAAAAAGGATGGGTAACTCCAATAACCTGTCGCCATTCAAACTGGTCCAACAACTCTGAGGTGAAATTTGGGTTTAGTGGTTGGTTGGTTGGTTGGTTGGTTGGTTTGTTGTTTAACGCAGCACTCGGCAATATTCCAGCTATATGATGGCGGTCCGTCAATAATCGAGTCTGGACCAGACAATCCAGTGATTGATATCATGAGCATCGATCCTTGCAATCTGGGATCGATGACATGCATCAACCAAGTCAGCAAGCCTGACCACCCGATCCCGTTAGCAGGCTCTTGCGACAAGCATTGCCGCGTTTTACGGCAAGCATGGGTTGCTGAGGATCTATTCTACCCCGGATCTTCACGGGTCTTGGGTTTAATGCCGTGTTCAAGATTATTGCATTTGTAGCGACGTGCATGAATATGTGTGTGGCCTTTAGGTCTGCAACGAATACACGATGAGGTGAATACGGTTCGTATCATGAATATAGGGTAGCGAATACAAATATTAATTCACTAATACAATAACAGGTCAGCAGTTGATGTATTATTTGTCGTATTCAGCATTTGACATGGTTTGTTAATTATTCATATATCATTAATATATTATTCATTTATATACTGCACTTATCCAGGTACTAGTATGTGCTCAAATGCGACAATGACCAGTGATCACAATACTGTCAAATTAAATAGTAAAAGAGTGTTGTCTTTTGAAGAAATCTACGCATAAAATATGTTCTTATGGGTATTTTTTTATGTAAATGCAAATGCTTGCATTTTCATAAATATTCGATTCTAGCGGCCAAGAATAACGAATTCAATTCATGAATGGATACGGTTCGATTCACCGAATACGCGAGTGAATTGTGACAGCCCTAGTGGCTATTTGTACTTGTTCGGCCCAATGGAGGTTTCATAGTGATAGCCGCTGCGATACCATGCAACTGTTTAACATGACCACCCAACTCAGTGAGTGAGTGAGTATGGTTTTTGGCGCTTTTAGCAATATTCCAGCAATATCATGGCGGGGGACACCAGAAATGGGCTTCACACATTGTACCCATGTCGGAAATCGAACCCGGGTCTTCAGCGTGACGAGCAAATGCTTTAACCACTAGGCTACCCGAACGCCCCCCACCCCATTCAGACACAGCATACTGACTCTGAGCCAACCAGTCCTTGTTTCACACCCTATAACCAAGCGTCAGCCTTGGTAACAACAAGTACCATCTATTTCAGGAAAACAGGTCCTAACACTCAGTTCCAAATAAAAATAAGAGGTATCAAATGAACAGTTAGACAACCTCAAATTTAAAACAAATGTTCACCTAAATCAGTGCAGGAGGGAAGCGTTGAAATGTTGGTATTTTTTCACCAAGAGTCGAAAAGTTTGTTTTGCTATTTAACGCCGCACTCAGCAATATTCCAGCTATATGACGGTTGTCTGTAAATAATCGAGTCTGGACTAGACAATCCAGTGATTGACATCATAAGCATCAATCCACGGCAATTGGGATATGATGGCATGCATCAACCAAGTCAGCAAGCCTGACCACCCGATCCCGTTAGTTGCCTCTTACGACAAGCATAGTCGCCTTTTACGGCAAGCATGGGTTGCTGAAGACCTATTCTACCCCGGATCTTCACGGGTCAAGACTCGAAAAGTGAACAAACTGAGGAACCACATAATAAACACATTGTGCAGTCTATGCAGGTTCAAGGTAAGAGACCGATTAAGAATAAGTCTTCAGCAGCCCACTCTTGCCGGAAGATGCAACTAATAGGATCGGGTGGTCAGGCTCGCTGACTTGGTTGATGCATGTCATTGTATCCCAATTGTGTGGATCGATGCTCATGATGTCAATCACTGGATTGACCAATTATTTACAAAGCAGTGTTCAAAATTAAGTATAAGTGAGTTGGGTTTAACTCCGCTTTTAACAGTATTCCAGTTATGTTACGGCGTGTCAGCTTAATGTGATGCAGGTCTCAGACGTTTACCACTTCGGTGAAACCAACAAGTAGAAATGTGGTACTGGCAAACCTAGAAACACAATTGGGATGAACCGGGATGCAGATCAACAATCATAGGTTTCTGGAGTGCCCAAGGGATGCAACTCTGCATAGCTAATTACAGCGCCTTTGGCGAGAAAGCCAACCATGCCCTAAAACAAAGCATGCAAGTCAAGGACTCAAGGGGTCCTTGTCCTAACTCTAATGACAAGAATTACAGATAATTCAGCAAAAAAACCTTATCTCATTAACATCAGACCATGGACATAAGATCACTGACATCAGATAACTGACATCAGATCACTGACATCAGATCATTAACGTGTGTAGACTTCAATTATTTTAGATGAAACCTAATTTCCACAAGACCAAGGCCTGCTAGTCTCAACGACGAGACCAACGGGTTTACTATTGTTACATTTTCTGTCAGTTTTATTCAGTACCAATTTTTTTGCAACACAAGCATTGAGAACCAAACTGCCATCATTGAACTTTACTTGCCCTCAGCATGTTTAAGTAGTCTGGGGCAGCTGACCAGCGTGAATATGAGAACAATATTTATGATGAGCATGGCTTTACAGGATTTATACAAATTATGTTATATTTTCACAAGCCGGCAAAAATAATCAACTACAGACTTAATTTCGAACTCTGGTCGGAACATATCTTTTTACAAATGATCAATATCAACAATAACTAAATAGCACAAACACAACAAAACATGGTCAAAAACCTTTATTGAAGAAAAAGTCATTTAAAAAATAATAATAAAAAAATGGCTGGAATGCATATGATGCAACCGTCTGTACAGCATGACAATATACAATAAACTAATTGTAAATACAAATTGCGATATTGCTACTTTGTTGTTTGACAGGGTTATAGAAAATATATAAATGCATTACTTTGTCTAGTGACAATATGGCTGAAATATTGCTGACATGACAAAATCTTAACTCACTCGCTCATGGCATCATTGCCTGGAGCAGACTTCAGACTCCAGACTTTCTAAATTGTGCAACTTGTGTTTGTTTCTTTGTTGTTTAACGCCGCACTCAGCAATAGCCCTATGACGGCGGTCTGTAAATAATCGAGTCTGGACCAGACAATCCAGTGATTGACATCATGAGCATCGATCCACGCAATTGCGATGCGATGAATGGCTGAAAGACTAAGGTTTCATAAACTATTTTTAGTTCATACAAATTGAAATTGTATCACTTCATGATCTCATTTTCTCTCTGGTCAAACTTAGCGCATGTAATTTGTAAAATAAAGGTCACTCAGAGTTTTCTCTCTTCAACGTCCTGTGGACTCTAAGCGAGCTGGGTATATAATTGTCATCACTGTGACCATATCTATTCTTGTTAAAGTAATCAATCGGGGATGAGTAGTGGCATTGTTTCTGTTTTGGCAAATAAAAAAAATTCTGTCCACCAAAACAATAGAAAAATCTAGCTTTGTGCCTATCAAACATCAACATCTAAAAAAAAATTTAGTGAACGTTTTACAATCATGAGCGAGTGTGGTTGTTTAACGTCACACTCAGCAATATTCAAGCCATATGACACTGGCATGTAAATAATCAAGTCTGGACCAGACAATCCAGTGTATATTACACAAATTGGGTAACGATAAAGAATAAATGTTCATTAAAAAATGGCTAAACAATCAGTGTTGGGTTTTTTTCGGGTCCAAAATAAACCAGGTATTGACAACACAAAGTCTATTTTTGTTAATTGCCAGTCTTGTAAAATATTGATTCCATCCAAAACCGGTCCATTCGTCAGCACCAAACTATTTCTAGGCAATAGTTTACAACATTTAGCAACCATATCTTTCTACTCTCTACCCCACTCAGCCATTCTTCTTTTGACATTCACAGCACATTATGAGTGAGTGAGTTGGGTTTAACACCGCTTTTAACAGTATTCCAGTTATATCACTGCGTGTCAGCTTAATGTGGGAGGAGAGCCTGAAGTGATGCAGGTCTAAGACGTTTACCACTTCGGTGAAAACGACAAGCACAGGTATGTGCTGACAAACCTAGAAACATAATCAGGGCGAACCGGGATTCGAACCCACAATCATAGGTTTCTGGTGTGCCCAAGGGACACAACTCTGCACAGCGAATCGCGGCGCCTTAGACGACTGGGCCACCCGTGCCCTTCAGCACATTATGATGAAGTTGGATAAAAGCACATTATGAACATGTTCGAATTCTGAGTCGAATACAAAAAATATAGTTTTAAACTTGAAATAAGGTAATCTGTTCCATATATTCCTGAGCTAAAATATTTAATAGCTGCCTTTGCTCAGTATCAAAAACCTTCCATACATTTCAGACAAATAAAAAACATATATATTTCATCCTGGTGATCTACTGCTAAAAAAAATTAGTAAAAGACATCCAACTTCTTTCTTATATTTAATGTGTCATGGCATGACATGGATTTGTCTTGACCTGCTAAGAGGCTGATATTCAAAACCCAAGTATGGTGGTAATCACTGTAATATCAGTGCAAGTCAACTGTGCAAAGGAATAACATTAGGCTTAAAGAAATAAAAGAATTGTTTCTCAGGCAATGACTATTGAAAACATGGTGCGGGCAGGCAGTGGTTTTTTTAATTTTTGCTTGTTCAAGCTAGTATGTAGCCGAATACACAACTTGCATACAAAGTCCTATCGCCGCCATGACCATAACATGGTAGGGTGAGGTGAAATGGGGTTTAACGTCGCGTCCAAGATTATTGCACTTATATAGCGACGTGCATGTACGTGTGTGTGTTTGTGTGGCTGCTTGTACTAGTCCGGACTGATGCCGATTTATAGTGCCAGCTCACTGAGATACCATGCCGCAGTTTAGTGAGTGAGTGAGTGAGTATGCTTTTACGCCGCTTTTAGCAATATTCCAGCCATATCACGGCGGGGGGCACCAGAAATGGGCTTCACACATTGTACCCATGTCGGGAATCGAACCCGGGTCTTTGGCGTGACGAGCGAACGCTTTAACCACTAGGCTACCCGACCGCCCCCTGCCGCAGTTTAACATGAATAGCCCACTCAGACACTTGTGGTATACTGACTCTGAGCCGACCAGTCCTTGTTTTAGCCCCTTAATGCCGAGCGCCAGACAGGATAACAACAAGTAATATCTTTTAACATCTTTTGGTATGACGCGGCCGGGGATCGAACCCCGGACCTTCAGCTCTCCGGGCTGATGCTCTACCACGGAGACGGTCGACCATAACATGAGATACACAGCTAAGCGGTGCTCACGTAAAGGGAGGTAACTGCATGTTATATTGGATCTCATTGTTTTTAGTGAGTGAGTTGGGTTTAACACAGCTTTTAACAGTATTCCAGTTATATGAGCTTAACTGTCAGCTTAATGTGGGAGGAAAGCCCGAAGTGATGCAGGTCTCATACGTTTACCACTTTGATGAAACCCACGAGCACGGGTATGGTGCTGAAAAACATAGAAACATAATTGGGGAGAACCTTCAATCATAGGTTTCTGGCGTGCCCAAGGGACGCAACTCTGCACAGCGAATCACGGCGCCTTAAACGACTGGGCCACCCGTGCCACCTCACATTGTTTTTAAGTATAGGGATTATTTCACAGTTTTTTTTAATGGAAATAAAAACGTGCGGCAAGCTTTATGATGATGCTGGCAGTGCCTGAGAACCAAGACTTATCTTTTTTTGCCTTAGTCATCACTATACTAACATGACTTTGAAAATGTGTATTTCCAATCTGGGAATTCCTACTGACATTTGCTTCAAACTTGGGGCCAAATATCGGCCTCTGAGCAGATCACAGTGGTCTGTAAAAAAATCAAGTCTCGACCAGACAATCCAGTGATTGATGTCACAAGCATCGATCCACGCAATTAGGATACTATGACATGCATCAACCAAGTCAGTGAGTCAGAGAGCCTGACCACCCAATCCCCTAAGTCGCCTCTTACGACAAGCATAGTCGCCTTTTACAGATGGGTTGCTGAAGACCTATTCTAACCAGGATGTCATTTGACCTTGTCCTTTGGGCTTGATGTCATCAATAAATCTCATCAGGTCAATCTAACGATATGACAAGAAAGCAAAAACAAAGTATGGGATGTACAAGTGATTTCATTCAAGGCGATCATGTCGGTGAACCGACAGTTTCAGAATATTAACAACACTGATCTCATTCTGGAGTGAGTGAGTGAGTTTGGTTTTACGCCGCTTTTAGCAATATTCACGGCGGGGAACACCAGAAATGGGCTTCACACATTGTACCCATGTCGGGAATCGGATCTCATTCTGGAAGCTGAGATCATCTTTTCTACATTATATACCATATTCGACGTAATAAGCGCCCACGTGGACATTTGCTGATATATTGGCTAGTGAACAATCCCAATTAGCACCCCTTCCTATTGATCGATGTACACAAGACTAATTTATTCGTGTATATACGCACTTGTGTGCTATATGCACCCTTAATTATGGGCAATAAAATTATGGAAAAAAATATGTCATTCATAAACATTTCAGGCTGTCAGCATAACCATGAAATCTATCTTTCAACTGTTTTTTTCCACCAAAAATAATATTCTAATAAGAGCCCCTATTTCTAATTTTGAGAGCGCCCTGGGCGCTTATTACGTCGAATACGGTACATCTACAGCTAATAGGTTCCGTTATGAGTGCAACCTGGTTTAGTCTGGTTCAACAAGATTGTGATGTCACCCTTCACCAGGTGCAAGCCATATCTAGACCTTACGACTTAAGGCACGACCCGTTATATTTTCAGTTAATCTCCTACTGGTATTTGCTCAGCTCGGCCATGTTGACAACTTGAGAGGCATCAGCTTGTAGCAGCTGTATTTCCAACTCGAGCTTCTTCTTCTCCAGGGCCAGCTTCTCCGTCTCCATCTTGGTCTTGACAATCTCGCACTGCAGGAGCTCCCTGTAGAGATCTTCAGTTGCTGCAGCAGTTCTCTCCCTTGATATGATTGGGACAGCTGATTGTGCACCTGTGTAGACAGCAGTCGTCTCCCTTGCCATGATGGGCACTGATTGGTTTTCTGTAGCAACAACAGTTGTCTCCCTTGGCAGTTTTTTCATAACTGTTTTTTCACTGGGTTTGATGGAAAACACCTCTTCTGGTGCAGCAACAGCTGTCTCCGTTGATACTGATGGTCGCTTGTCGGCAACAACAGTTATCTCCCTTGGAGCAGTTGCATTGACATTACTTGGTACCAATGGTCGTTTGTCTTGGACAACAGTTTTCTCCTTTGGTTTGTTAGGAATCACCTTTCCTGGTGCAGCAGTTGTCTCCCTTGTATTGCTAGGAATCGCCTTTCCTGGTGCAGCAGTTGTCTCCCTTGTATTGTTAGGAATCACCTTTCCTGGTGCAGCAGTTGTCTCCCTTGTATTGTTAGGAATCACCTTTCCTGGTGCAGCAACTGTCTCCCTTGTATTGTTAGGAATCGCCTTTCCTGGTGCAGCAGTTGTCTCCCTTGTATTGTTAGGAATCACCTTTCCTGGTGCAGCAGTTGTCTCCCTTGTATTGCTAGGAATCACCTTTCCTGGTGCAGCAGTTGTCTCCCTTGAAACCAATGGGGGCTCCCATAGAGCAGAAGGATTTAATTCAATTGGTCCCAATGGCCGCTTGTCAACAACATTTTCCTCCCTCGGTTTGCTAGAAATCCCAATTTCTGGTTCAGTAAAAACCAATGGTTGCTTGTCGGAAATAGCTTTCTTCCTTGTCGTCATAATAGTGATAGGAAACAGCTTTGCCGTTGCCACAGCAGTTGTCTCCCCTTGGGTAGATAAGTCATCTGTGAATTAAGAAAAAGGGGGAAGTTTACACATTTGATACCTCTTAAATAAAGATGAATATAACATGTTATCAAGCAGGAAAGGTCGTCTGAAATGGTTAGTGGCCATAAAACAATTTAGGCTTTGAAACATGGCTGAACTTTCAAATTATAAATTTTGAAATTAAACAATCATTCTGTTAGATACAGATTTTTCTGTTAATTCCTTTATCAATATGTACCTAGATTGGACCGTCCCGGAGTCATCTTCACGTTCACATTTCGGGCCTCATCTTCCATCAGCTGAAGTCCGACTTCAACATCGTAAATCGTTCATTCCCAAACGTCCTCTTCGGATGGGGCCACTGTCTGTCGGCATCGTGGCAAAGTTCCTCACAGTATGGTGTTAAACTTCCGCCATCAATCCCGCATTAGCTGTTACGCGCTTCCGTTAAATATGTTATCGCGGAATGGAACGTCTAATCTGCTCATGCAAAATGCGGTATCACAACAACGGAATCCACAACAACTACAAGCAGAAACATTCAGCCATGTTGAACTATCAAAACCTGCATCGATCTGTTATATTTGCAGAGACAACAATTTTTTTGGAGTGAA